TCTCCATCCCACCCAAAGCACATTGTGGAGGCACAGGGGCACTTGGTGCCACCAGCTGGTGGAGACAGCCACATTCCTGCAGAGGATGCGGTGCTGCTCCCCTCCACCAGCCCTACTGCTCACCTGGCCCAGCTTGGATCTGCTCAGCAGGCTTAGTTTAAACACTTATTTCTTCTTCTCCCCAAATATCCCACTTTATATGATCAGAACTGTCCTGGTTTCAGTTAGGGCAGAGTTAATTTTCTTCCTCATAGCTGGTAGCAAACACCCCAGATCATTTAACTCCTCCTCAGGGTAAAGCACATGCTGCAAGACGCCAGCACAGCCCCAGCCTTGGCACAAAGCTGGCCCACGAGGGGGAAAGTTACCCTTGCATTTAAATCAAACAGACTGAGCTCACCTCACCACGTACAGCAGTTCCCAAACACAGCTCCAGATCCCTCAGGTGTTGCCAGCAGGACCCAGACGTGCAGCCTGGCTCAGCACCACTCTGCTTCACCTCCCACCCAGCACTTCTAAGAGCAAACAGCTGCTGCTTTTAAGCCCTCTGAGGAGTTTAGGAGTGGAGCACCTGCACCAGCAGCTGATAGCACTTACTGCTCCTCACTGAAGCTCATTTTGCAGCAGGAGGGGGCACAACTGTGCAGCCACTCACCGGGGCACCTCCAGCTCCCCTGGTCTCGCATGGTGACAGCAGGACATGGGCAGGTGACACTCGCTGCAGCACCCAGCACCTCAGTGCCCAGCAAGCAGCAGGAGCAGGAGAGCATCGTGGTGGCCCTGCAGGTGCAGGAGGCTCAGAGGATTTGTCCCCACACCCCTCACTGTTGCACAAACCTTGTCTGTGTGCTGTCTCTCCAGCAACGCTTGTGTGACCCAAAGCACTTTATGACATCTCAGCGGCGCTCATCCCACCAAAGGTCACGGCGCAGATACTCCACAGCTGACATTCGTGCTCCGACACACTAGCTTAGCTGATGATAGGGAAAAACAAACTAACAAACTGTTTTAATCAGCTCTCTCCTGCAGCGAGGAGCACAAAGCGTGTGCTGCACCCTGCTAAAAATAGAAGAGAAGCCGCACTGGGGCAGGTTGGTGGCAGGACCAGAGCCCCCAGAGCAGTGGGACGTGGGGCAGCACCTGCCCTCTGCTCCTGCGCTGCAGAGGTGCTCAGAAAATGCACAGAGCATCCATCACCCGTCCCACATGTGATGGGGAAAGGAGCAGAGGAGATGTGCTTAAATAAAATGCTCATGCAGCTCCTCCTGCTCTCCAACTGCAGCCCCCTTGCTGGGAATGCTCCCCAGCACCCCTCACCCATGGGTGGGTGCCCCTGGGCAGCAGTGCTCAGCGTCCTTAAGGCGTCAGAGCAGGGAGGAACACCACCAGCGATGCCAGTTCCACCTCCTTCCCAGTGCTCCGCACCATCATCCATCAGATGGCTTTCTCCTCTGCTAGCTGAGCTCCCTTCCCTTTTGGGGAGCTTCAGGAGTCATTTGCAGACATCTCAGCTTTCTCAGTGATTCTTTTCCTTATTAAATATTGCTAATGGAAGGTTTTTAGACTCTCTGCTGTACATCCACTTTCTGTTCTAGTGTAAATCTTCATCAATCTTCCCTCTTCCTTCTGTTCGAGTCTTTAAAAAAAATAAATTACTGGAATAAAAAGAAAAGCACAAAATAATTGAAAGGAGCAGCTAAAAACAGAAGGGTAGGGAAGCCGAAGAAAGTTAACGTGATTGAAAGGTTCAATAAAATCAGAGGAAAGACGGAAAAATCCTGTTTTCTAACAAAATGGATGATGAAAAGGGCCTTTTTTCAGCTAAGTATTTTTACCGTGAAAAATGTCACCGGGCTGTAACTGCAGTGCAGGCCCGGTGCAGTGCCCCACTCGGTTTCTGCTCTGTGCAGACACATTGGCACTGCTGAGCACGGTGCATGTGAAGCCCCCGCAGTGGAGTTTCTCAGGGGGACATTGCCTGTCCCTTCAGCCTTATCCGAAAGCTTTTCTGCTGCTGTTTTCCAAATGTAACCTGTAAAATCTTGGCAAATTGCTTGTGGGAAAAATGTTCCAGCTGAAGGCAGCCTGAAGGCTGGTGACTTCGGAGAGCGCTGCGCAGAGACGGGGAGGTGGGTGCGCAGCCGGGGCTCTTGCAGCCTGTTCTCGGCATCATTATGAGCACATACATGATTAATGAAAATGTTTATCCCTGTGACCTGCCGTAGTGAGCTAATATTTAATCCAAAGCCCATGTGAAACCCCAACCTGGCTCCTCATCTAGCTCCTCATCTCGCTGGAGCTCTCAGCGCTGCGAGCTGCCCTGAGGTTGGGCTCTCCGGGGCTGACCTGGGAGCCACCTGGGCTTTGTCTGGCTTCCCGCATAAGTCCCACACCTTTTGATCCTGTAACCGCTGCCACTTGGGACCTACAAGGTTCCTCGGATAATCCCGGAGAGCCGGTGCTTTGTAACTCCTCTCACTTTGATATTCAAGGCGAAGCCGGACAGCCCACACATGAAAAGGCAGGCTTCCCTTTCTTCCCAGCCTTAATTTCATCTGCAAATTAAACATATTGAGACAGTTATTTATAGAGGAGTGCCCTGATCCTCCCAAGAGGGCCGTGGAGCCTCCGGTGTGTAATTTGGCTTTAGGAACATGGTTTTAATCTGGGCTTTCTGCTGCAGCGGAGAGAAGGGCAGGGAGGGGCCAAGGGCTGAGCTGGTGCCTGGCGGGGCCAGAGCACGAGGGGATGAAGGCTCCTTGAGCCCCTCCATCCTTGCCCTCAGCAAGGCTATTTCAGGATGTAGTTCATCCAGGCTACAGGTTTTACATCTAAAATAAGGTCCGCCAACTTTGTTAGCGAGGGTTTCCAGCTGTGATGGACAAAATGAAGCCACAAGATTCCTGCTTGCTGTCGGTGCTGCAGGCACGTACCTGCTCCTGTGCAGGGGGGAGCTGCTGGGGGCTATGGGGGCAGTGTAGGGGAGCAAAACCCATGGGAAAAAAAATGGTTCCAGTGGTTATCCGAAGGGGGAATTCGGTACACTACCATGTGCTGCGGGGTATGGCTTTAAGCTTCAGTAAACTTTTGGAGTCCCTGGGAAGCTCGTAACGTGCCTCTGATGGAAGCACCACTTCTGAAATCGCAGTTTTTAGCTTAGCCGGGGAGTGTTAATGAGAAAATACTGCGGGCTGCAGGTGGAAGTCTCCCGAATCCCATAAGTTAGAAATAAATTATTCTGTTTTCCTAAATGAAGCAGCACAGTGTAGCGCTGCTCCTCCACCGGGCTGCCGGTGAGAATTAGCAATTTGTGCAGGACCAGCCAGAGCTCGGCCAGGCAAACACAGAGCAAAGAGCTACAGACTGGGATTTGCTGGCTGCAAGGAGGAAACCCTTCTGCTCTGGCTTTGAGAAGGAGCAGCGGTGGTGGGGTGGTGCGAGGGGGCAGCGGGGACGGACGGACAGACAAATCCTTCCCACTGCAGCCAGAGCAGAGATGATCAAAAACTGCTCCCAACTGCAGTGCAGCAGCCTCACGTTAATTAAAGCTGGAGCGAGGCAGCTCTGCCTGTGCCTGCTGCAGGCCGGCTCGCACATCAAACAGCAGAGCTTCCCATGAGGACAGGTCCCACGTCGCTGCGGTGGGGTTTTGATGAGCACCACGATCAGCGTGGAAGTTACCGGCCAGGAGAGCCCCTTGGCAGCAGCTCAGGCTGTGCGGGCGATGTGCAGCCGTGGGCAAAGGTGCCCGGCCTCTCGGGTACCAAAGGCTCATCCGAAAGGGCCTTGAGCACTGCTGGACTCCTTCCCAGAGAGGGTTTGTCCATCCCTGGGCAGGTCTCCAATGAGGTTACTAACGAGGGAGATGGGTGAGTACAATGCCGGGTATTGAGTGCTGCGGGGGGGCGATAAATCTGGGTGCCGATGCCTGGAATCAGTCAGGAGCAGGTGAGAGAGAGGCAGGGCAGCACTGTGGGTAAATCCATGTGCTTCTGGAGGTGATTACCCTCTGAGTAATTAGTTTTTAAATCAGGCAGGCATTTTAGGGAGTATTGGCTATGAGCTGCTTTAATTATTTATGCTCCCTTTCACTCTTACGATCTGCAGGCAGCCTCTGCACGAGATGCTCATGGGGTCGGCTGGACCAGGAGCCCCCTGGCCGTGTCCCTGTCCCCCCGGTGCCACCCGGCCATGCTTAGGTTCCCCCAGCTCTGCAAAGCAAATGGGAGCAAGCGCTCATCGCTGCGGAAAGCCCTGCTCTGCTCGGTAATTAAAGCCTCACTCATCTTCACTTCCCTCGTTTGCTGAAGCGAGGCCACTCCACGAGGCGTTAGTGCAAGGCCCTCTGCCAGCCACGGCATCGTCAGGCGAACGTCCCCCCGGGACAGCCGGGGCCGTGCACGCAGCCCCTGACTGACTGCTCAGCCCCAAACCTCCCCATCCGCCCCTCCTGGGACGCCCCAGGGGAGAGGGGGCGATTTCACAGCAGCGAACCCTTCCCCAAGCTGGGGTTTTGCTGTGGCACCCCACAGCCCCCTGCTCCTGCAGCCCATCCAGGCGTCCTGGCTCTCCCCTGCTCCAGAGCCTCAGAGCACCTGGGAGCCACCCCCACAAACCCACCTCCGACCCCAAGAGCTCTTCCCTTGGGCTACACAAAGCTGCCCCTAGTGCTGAGCAGGGACCTTTGCCCCTCGCCATGGTGAGAAACCATTTCTTGGTCCCCAAAAGTGCCCATCCTGGTCCGATCTCCTCTGCTCTGAATCCCAGCTGCCAGCAGAAAGAACAGGTCCATAAAGCCGGTCCTGCACCCTACAGCCCCCCAGGGAGCCTAACCCAGCCCAAAGCTGACGGAGATGAGCAATAAATGAAACCTTCCCCCCAAACTGGACACAGCCCTTTTGGCCTCTGCCCTCACCCCCAGCCCCACAGGATCCGTGCAGGAGCGACCCCATCCCAGCTGGTGATGTCCCCAAAAACCAGACGTTTCCAAACAAGCCTCCTTCTATTTGCATTCGAAACATTTATTTTGGGAAATACATATTAAACACTATTATTTATACAAAAATGGACTAAATTTGTCATAATGCTTATAACCCCCAAAAGGCCATTTTAATAGATCTGGATGAAGTTTTTTTTTTATTGTATTATTTTCTTTTTTTTTCTTCAAAAAAAAAAAAATCAGGTTACAAAGGAGAAAGCGGCGTGTCTTGCTTGGCCCAGCTTGAGATATCGACTAGAGGAAAAAAAAAAAGTTGAAGATGACATTTGCAGAAGTGCCTCACACAAGAGATTTTTCTCCCCCTTAAAAGTCTTTTTAACACTTGAAATATATATACTTTTTTTTTTCAGTTAATACATTTTGTTTTGTTTTTGCTAAAATATAGCAAGTCAGCAAGTACATAACTGCTCCTCCCCAGCAGCCCTCCCAGTGCTGCTGCGGAGGGGAAAACACGAGGAGGGGGAGAGCGCAGCCTCCGTGCCACGCGCACCCTGCGCCAACACCACAGCTTCCCCGGGGCAGCACAGGGCTGGGCACGGCCCAGGGACAGCCCCGAGCACCCCTCTGGCTGCCCACGGGGGTGAGGTGCGGGGAAAATCTGCAAATCGCCCCCCCAGCACAAGGTTTGGGCAGCCTGAGCAGGGCGAGCGCAGCCCCTCTCCTCTCCTCTCCTTCTGGCCACCTGCGATGAAGCCGCTGGGTGGGCTCCGCGGCTGTCCCCCGGTGCTGGGGACGCGCTGCCCTCTTAGCACATGCCGAAAAAAGGGTGATTTGGGTAAAGTTTCGTCCCTTGGAGAGGGGAGCGGAGACTGATGGGGCTGACAGCAGAGCAGCAGGCGGGGCAGAAGGGCTGCAGAGCTCTGTGCCAAGAGCACCTGCTCGCATGCCACGCGGTGTTGTTGAACACCCTTGCAGGGTCTTTTTTACTGCAGACCCACGGAAACACGAGGCACACGGGGGGGCACAGCTGAAGGGAGAGTGCCCCAGGGCTGGGGGGTCCCAGGAGCCCTCCCCAGGGCCAGGGCCGTGCACGCGGGCATGCAGGGCTCAGTCTGATACGGGCACGGTCTCCTTGCACGAGGGCTAGGCAGATGGAGGAGCATGTTACGCACATACACATCACACAGGGGATGCAAAAAAAAAAAAAATAAAAAATAAAAAAATACCTAACGGCCTCCTCTGTCTTATGGAAAAGCCTGATAATGACAAGGGTCAGACAGGACAAACTCCCCACCGCCGCTTTGCAGAGACGTTCCGCTCTCAGCCCCCTTCGGACAAAGAAACTTGGAGCCTTCGATGGCATACAGCACCCCACCGAATTACAAATAAATATACAAGGCTTCCCAGGAGCTCAGCCACACCTGTGGTCCAAGCGAGAGGGGAAAAGGAGTCTCTGCAAAGCGCCGCAGCTCGGGGAAGCATTTTCCAGGCTGCGAAGACGGCCAGCGCGAGCCCCCCGCCCCCCAGTTCCACCATTGCAAGGTACCAGTCCCAAAAGGCACTTCTCCCAGAGCGGGCAGCTCTGCCGGGCTGCGGGAAACCCCTAAAGGCTCCCAGGTTATTGCGTGTAGGCAGGGGGGGGGTCGGGGTTGGGGCTGGCTGCTCCTGGAGGACCGCAGAGGGCTCGCGAGGAGGAGGAGGAGGAGGAGGAGGAGGAGGCAGGAGACAAGGATGTCACCGTCTTGCTCTCTTCATACCACCGTACCTTGCTTCTGGAGGCTACATTCACACGGAGAAACCCTTGCCTTCAATGGACGGAGAAGAAAAAACGGCAAAGCCACGGGGCAGAGGTCCTCAGCCTTTGGCAAATGCCCCCTGGGGACAGCCACGGAGGGGGCAGGAGACCCCCACCCGCTGCCCTACCCCTAAACCCCGCGGCCATGGGGCAGCGGGAGGAGGCTGCCCCATTAGGCTGGAGGATGGCAAGAGCCCGACCCCAACGGGGGGACGGTCCCCAGCCCGGCCACCCCCTCCTGCCTGAATGGGGCCGAGACGGAAAGCCGTCCCATGAGGTGGGGGGACGAGCGGTCACCCCACTGCACGACAGCTGGTTATTTGGTCAGTTAATATGGGCGGGGGGCTGGGGGCAAGGAGGGACAGTGGCAGAGGATTTATATAAAAATAAAGGGGGGGGAGAGGGGAGAAATAGCGAGCGTGAGCGAGCGAGGTCCTGGCTACAGAGCGAGACGGTTACATTTCGTTAGCCACCAGCTCCTTGTCGGTCACGCCGTTGGAGAGCGAGCTCTGGCCCTCGTTCAGCCTCTTCACCCTGTAGGCTTCGAAGTGGATGTTGCTGGTGATGTCCTTTATGTTCTGCATGTGTGTCCTGCACCAACACAGACAGGGGGTGGTTGCAGGGGGCCGGGGGCTCACCCAGCACCAGCCCCAGCTGCCACCTCGCACCCCTCACCCTCTGCTTTCCAGCCCCCCCCCCTCCCGGGAAGACCCCGGTCCTACAAATCCCTGGGGTGAGGCTTTGAAGCCCTGCACAGCTCTGCCAGCAGCAGCTCCACGTGCAGGGCAGCCAAATTGAGACCAACGTCCCCTCCAGCCAGCCAAGGGGCTCAGCGCCCCACTCCCCCAGCAGGGACACCCAGACCTCACAACAGCACGATGCAAGAGGGTGATGCTTTGGGACTGGGAACGGTGCACTGGGGAACACCTGGGGCTGGTGAGGGGTCAGCAGGGCAGAAATACCCCTCGGGTGCTCCAGGCAGGTGGGATGGAGGGAAGCGAAGCAGCAGCTGTGTCCCGGGGGGGCTCTCCCCTTTCCCTGGATGCCACCCGCTGAGCGCAGGCTCCGGGGAGCAGCACGGCCCTACTGACCTGATGAGGAGGTCCCGCAGGTAGGCGAACTCACAGTGTGTCGTGTTCTCCACTGCGAGGGGGACAAAAGAGAGAGAAAAACCCATCAGCAAGCAGCCAGGGCACACACGGCAACCAGCCAGGGAGGGAGAGTGCAACCAGGCTTCACCGGGGCGCAGGGAGCTGAGACAGGGACCCAGCCCCAGGGCCACCCACACAGGATGCTCAGGAGTCCTCCTTGCTGCCGTGAGGCCAGCGATTTCCCCACGACCCCGTACTAACGGGGCTGAGAGCAAGGAGTAAGAGGCTGGGGGCAAAGCAAGGGGCGCTGCTCTGCCACAAGTACTGACAGCCGGCGCTTTGCCAGGCGTTTCAATTTAGAATCTCAACTCCCCTTTTTGATTTTTTTCCACCCAAGATGATTTCTGCATTCTGTTCATAAGAGAATAAGTAACATTGTTCTGCAAAGGCTGCCCACGGGCACGCTGGTTCCTTGTGTGACATCTGCCTTTGGCACGGGGAGACCGACGCGGAAGGCAATTCATGTCTCTTAGCCCTCCCTGAGCCCCATAAACTCAGAGCTTCCAAAGACACAGCACAAGAGGGCAGCAGAGATTTAAAATACACTGATTTTCCTGGCAGCTTTGTTAAGCAATCCTTCAATGCGGGATTCCTATAAAAGAGAATCATAAATGAGAGAAAGCTGTCAAATGAAGGGGAGGAAGGCAGGGGGGTGGCACCAGTCAGCCGGCTGCCCACAGCCAGGGACCAGGTAACGTGCTGATGGGCTGCAGCCATAAGCCTTTGCCTAACCTTTAAACTCTGACTTAAAATGGTGGAAGGAGGAGAAAAAAAATGTTAAAAAAGAAGGAAGACGTTGATGGGATGAAGACAGAAGGACGAGACCACACCAGGGCACCACTAAATACATGGAGACCTCTGGATGGTGGGGAAGGCTCCAAGCTGGGCTCGAGAAAGAGACCTCAGCACTGAGCTTGTCTGCCCTCAAACCCAGTGTGAGAAGCAGGAGCCTGGCCAGAGGGGGAGACAAGACACCGAGAAGAGTCCCCTCACACCCTCAGCTGCCCCCTGAGCTGAAGGACCTCAGCACAGAAGTGGCCGAGTTATTTCCAGTCCCAGAGACGGGGGAGGTGGCTGTCCCGGAGGAGCAGGGAAGCTCTGGGTCCACCTCGATTTCCACTGCTGCTTTTGGAGCTCATCACCTTCTGCCAGGGCAGGGAGTCGGGCTCGGGAGGTGGGGAAACAAGGGCAAGCTACCTTCAATGGTGCCCCACTTGGTCTTCCTTCCAAGGATTCTTCTTCCATTAACCTGGTACTCCTGGTCGCTGCCCACCACTGCAAACGGGATCATTTCCTGAGGACAGACAAAAACAAGGTCACGTTTTCCTCCCGAGAAACGAGTCAGGAAACCGAGCTGGTGAGCAAAGCCCTGGGCCAGGCTGTTTTCAGAAGAGACCTTCACGGGACGGGCCAGCCTGCCCCTGATGCCGGGGACCTGGGCAGCACCCAGCCAGAGGAAGGCAGCAACCCGGGGCTCGCTCACCCCCTGACCCCAGGTGCTGTCTTGGTACTTTGGAGTCCCTAATTTTTATTTTTCTTCCTTGATTTTGCCCGATCCAATTTTCCAATTAGAAACTCGTTCGCTATTTCCTGCAGCAGGGAATTCACCTCCACAGAAGCAGAGCAGGCTGCGGGCAGATCCCCTCCAGCCGCCAGGAAGGGGGCTCCCCGTGCTGCAGGGGGCATCCCCTGCACCTGGGGGGGGGCACGAAGCCCCCAGACCTCCCTGCCTGCTGCTTCCTGAGGGCACGTTAAGATACAGAGCTGGGGGAAGGAGCAGCAACAGAGAGGCAGCCTTCCCCGGCTGCCTTTTTTGTACTCTTTCTGTCCCTGCTCTGAGCTCTGCCATGACCCCGGGCAGGCTGCTGCGGGGCTCAGCGCCTTCAGAAAGAAACCACAGACCCTGGGAAGAGGACCCCGCGGCACCCCAGGTGCTCGGAGCCGCAGACCCCCCAGCCGAGCACATTTAACGGCGACGCCAGGCACTAACCCTGAATTTCTCGTTCACTAGCCGATCTTCAGAGTCTTCATCAAACTCCTTCTGCGGGTACACGTCAATCCCGTTGGCGAGAAGATCGGCCGTGATCTGGGAGGGGAGGAGCAGGGGACACGTGAAGATTCGGGCAGAGGAGCTTGCTCCCATCACGGCGCTGCCCCAGCCCCTGCAGGAGGATTCAGGAGCAAGCCCGCAGGGCACAGCAGTGCCCAGGCACCGTCATCTTCCCTCTCTCCCCCAAATATTGCCCACCTGGGGGACAGGGACCTATGTTTAAGTGCCACACACCTCCAAGAGCCTGCCCTGTAAGGTCTGCAGGAACCTGGTGCCAAGCCAGGCTGAGAGGGAGCTGCAGTTGGATGAGCTGGGCTTTGTGTTGGCATTTAAGAGTACAAAGACACAGGGTGCAACAAGTGATGGGAACACAGCTGCCAGGCACGCGGTGCTGGCCCTCACGTTGTTTTTTGGCACTTGCTGCCCTGCCTGGAAAGGTTTCACAGCACTGCCTGCTCTGAGCAGCCAGGGACACAACTGCCTGGAGCGGTCTCCAGGACACTGCCTCTGTGCAGGGCAAAGGGGTGCCAAAATCCGAGTCCTGGGAGGTTAGGGTTAGGGTTAGGGTTGGGGTTAGGGTTAGGGTGAGGCTTAGCTCAGGTCAGCACCAGGAGCACAGAGGTTCAGCCTTGAACAAAGCTGCAAACCCAAACCCACACCCGTGTGCCTGCTCCTGTCGCTTGCTATGGCCACCTACTCCCCCACATCAGCCTGCACTGCAGGCTGGCAAAGAAATCAGGCCAGAAAAACCCCAAACCAGTCCCCACACACATACCTGCTGGGGATGACCCCCTGTTTTATGTGAACAACCCAGCAAAGCCAGCTCCACAGGGCGTTGTATCCCATTTGACCAACTCAGTGCCGTGCAGGCACCAACCTGACACGGTGCCCGCAGCCCCAGGCAGCTCCTCACCTCCTGCACTCCCCATCCTAAATCCCCGTCCCTAAAGCTGTCCTTTTGGTGAGGCCACGCTGCCCCTTTCCCCTTGCTCCACTCCGTGCCCAGAAGGGAGATGTGCTGCACCCCGGCAAACTCCGAGAAGCGGAGGCTGCTCAGGCTGACCCTGTCTGGGTCTGCGTGTGGGTACCAGGCTGCAGGACCCAATTCCTGCCCAGCTCCTCCCTGCCCTACAGCACCCGGTGCCCGAACCATCTGCATTGCAGTTTGGGGAATGCTGGCTGAGCGACCGGTTTCGGCAAAACCTGGCCGGTTCCTGCTCAAAAATGCGATTCTGGCTCAGAGCAACGAGCCACGCGGTGGCCGGGTGCTCGCTGCTTTGTGCAGTGCCGGGGCCGGCACGGCCGCAGCCACAACGCGGCTTTCAGCGCTGTGTGAGCAGCCCCCAGCTCCCAGCAGCACGGGGCCCGCAGGGAGGGAAGCGAGCACACACCAAGCACACACCTTCGGTGGGCTCAGCCGCTGCTCCTCAGCTCCCCACCAACGCGATCAAGGGAATTTCGTGGCTCGCTTCCCCATAAATCTTGCCCGGCTGAGCTCAGCAGCCCCCCCGGTTTTTGCCTGGTTGCTGTGTGGCACAGGGAGGGTTCTCCAGGCTGTGAGTGCAGCGCCGTCCGCCTCCCGAAATAACCCAACCCAGCCCCAAAACAACAACAACAACAACAAAGGAGGCAGGAGGAACAGGCCCCGAGACCACGAGCTCCAAACGTACTCCGCGCTGACAGCGATCCAAGAGAAACACAAGGAAGCGTTTGGAGCGAGGGCCTTCCCTCCTGCCACATGGGATCGCTCAGGGCTGCAGCCCGAGGAATGCGCCGGGCTCCCAGCCAGGCGCTCGGCTTCCCAAAGCTGCCTGGGGAGAGGGGCAGGGGGAGCTGCGGAGCCCCCCCAAGCACCCCCGGCCCCTTCCTTACCCTCTGCTTGAAGTAATCCCTCTCCTCCAGCGTTAACGTGTCGGCTTTGGCGATCACCGGGACGATGTTGACCACTTTGCTCAGGCGCTTCATGAACTCGATGTCCAGCGGTCGGAGGCTGCAAAACACGGCAGGAGAAAAAAAGGGCTCAGCCTCTTTGCTTTCGGAGAGGAAAAGGAGAGGCATTTTCTCAGAAGCTCGGCAGCATGTGGCAGCAAGGTGCCCAAAGCCAAGTGTGTCCTCGGCAAAGCCGGGATGCGAGCACGGTGCCGCAGCCTGCCCGCGGCACACATCAAGCTGGGGAGAGACCACGGTGCAAAACCTCCAGCTGTGCCCACGAGGACACGCTGGCAAGGGCCAGGGCCAGGCCAGCACGATGGGGACGTGGCCACGGGTCCCTGCTCTGATTCACTCTTGCTCTGTCACACGCGAGCCAAGATTTCATCCCTCACCCACTGGCTCGGATGAAAAAAAGGCTCTGCCCATTCTCACGCGGCACAGAAGAGATGCTGCTTGTTCCAGAGGGCAAAAACGTTGGGAAACTTCTACAACCAAAGTCTCGGCAGAGCAAAGCTGCAGCGATTGCACAGCCGAGCCGTCAGCCCCTGGGGAAATCCCTCGCTGCTCCGGGCTCCTGCTGACAGCGTGGCCATGACCCCCGGTGCCATGCAGCGGCTGGCCCTGACCCTTCCCTCTGCCCCTCTGTCCTCTCTGCTCCCTGGAGGTATTTTTATCGCCGGGGGATCCCAAGCTGGCCAGATAAAAGCCTGCCTGGGGATGCCTCTGCCCGCTGCGGGTCCCCATCGGTGGCTCTGGAGGTGACGGGGACACGGTGGCCACGTGAGAGCTGAGCAAACGCTGCTCAGCACCTGGGGAGAAACCCAAATAAACGGGGCTGTGGCTTAGGGTGCTCAGGTGCTCCCTGTGTGGGGGAGCACAGAGCAGAGCCCAGTGCCCAGGGAAGCCAAAAACGTGCTTAGAAGCAGGGAGGAGAGGGCCAAGAGAGCACCTGCTGCCAGCACGCTCAAGCCAAACCCCACCGGGGTGGTCCCCTCAGGCCCTACAAAGGACTCAGAGGCTCCCACAGACCCCACACAGCTCCCACGAACCCGGTGAGAGCCTTGTGAGCCCAAAGGGAAGGGGCTGATGCTGCTCCTTGGCAGTCCCCAGGTGGCATCTCCACCCCACAAGGCCACCCCTGCCTGGCCCCGCAGGGACACCCGGCCCGGAGAGACCCGGCACGGCGCTCCTGCTGATCCTAAAACCACAGCTCGAGGCTATTCCAGTGCAGACATCAGAGCCCGTCCCCGGCCAAACCCCATCTCCTCCTTGGGGCTGGGCACACCCCACACCACGAGGACCTGCCCCAAGTCCCCCAGGACCTGCCCCGAGCCCCCCGTGCTGTTTGCACGCACGGCCCCGGGCGCTGGGCAGGCAGCGTGAGGACAACCAAGTTCCTACCACGAGCTCAGGAGCCACAGCTCACCCTGGGCCCCGGGAAAGAAAAGGAGTTTGGCTATTTAAAAAAATTAAAAAATAAAAAAAGAATGAAAAAAGCACAAGGAAACCCCCACGGACACATCCAAGCAGAGTGCTGCTGGCAAGCATTGTTTGGAGCTCTGCAGAATGTATTTCCCAGACCTCCAAGGAAGCCCTGCACTCATGTTCCTTTCCCAGCAGATTTCTTTCCCCTCCTTTCTTTTTACCATTTTTCAAACAGTTTTTCCCCTTTAAAAGCCTCTTCCCCACCGAGACTGTGCTGCTGCCTCCTCCTCCAGCTCTCCTTTCGGGATGCCCACGTAGCCGAGTTTCAGGCCGGGGGGCACCGAGCCCACCCGCCCCGCCACCAAGCCCCCCCAACGCCTGCTGAGGACGTGAGGGTGGCGAAGCAGCACCACGAAGCTGCTCCCAGGACACATGAGGACGGGGTGGGACAGGAGGGGATGAGCACAGGAGCCCCGTGAGCCAGCAGCACCAGGGGGCAGCTCCCTACATGTAATTCCTCTGAAATTCCTGCTGCTCGGCACCACCCGGGAGGGCAGGGACAGTTCTGGTGCTCCGCCACCACCGTCCTGCCACCAGGATGCCCCCAGCACCGCTGTCATCCCCTGGGAGTCCAAACCAGGTTCAAAGCATCGACACCAGAGCTCAAAGAGCATCAGCAATGAAACCACTAAATATACCAATGAGCAAAACAGCAAGAGAAAGTGAGTTATTTCTTTTCAGGTCCGTGAGATCTGCTCTTTTCACAAGCACATCATGAAACAGATGCTCAGGAAGAAGCAGCACGTGTTTTCTTCCCCTTCTCCAGGTGCTCCTTAACTGTGCAAGCTTGCAACTAGACACACGCATGCTTTGGACTGTGCTGGGAGGGGCTGGAGGAACAAAAAGGGAGCGAGCGAGCTGGAGCAGGGGCTGCAGGAGGGGCTCCAGCCCACCCCAGCGGGTGCTGGTTGCTCCCGGGTCCCCCCTCGCTATGGGGCTGGGGAGAGCAGCGCACCCGGGCACGCGTCCCGGTGGCTGGGCACACACCGTGCCTGCACAGCCCGCAGCACAGGTCCCCTTGAACTGCCATTAGAGGAATAAAAATTCCCCACAAACTGCAGGTATTTCCTTCGGGTTGTGCCAAGGAGCTCAGCAAGAAGCTGAGCCGTGCTTCCAGCCCACACCAGCGAGCACCCAGCGGCCACCCAGCCCCGCCAGCACCCTCGGGGGACCCAACCGAGGCTGTGAGAGGTGGAAAGCGGCCGTGAGGTGTCCGTACGTCAGCCAGCACCTCCGGCACACGCAGCAAAGGGGGCTGCCGAGCCCAGGGCAGTATTTCAGAGTCACGTTTCGCAGCCTGGCGGTGCTTCACAGGGGTCAGAGCTGAGAAATTTATTGGGTGGCAAAGAGCTCGGCTTGCGCAGCTACAGCCAAAAGCCCCTGCCAGCAGGTTACTTAGCCTTTGCAAACATGGTTTTACGGGAGTGTTACAAGAAGGACAGGGTGTGTGCAAGCTAGATGGGTTGCAAATCCTACCCTGACCTCCCTGCGAGGGGAGAGACAGCGGCAGCAGAGAGGAAATCTCTCCCTGGATTAACCCTTGAGCAGCACGGCGGGGAGGCACCAGCCTGCACTGAACGCTGCAGCACCCGTGTGGAGCAGCATCCCGAGCCCCTGTGCTCCAAAACGAGCTCAGAGCCCTGTCCCTGCTGCAGGACGGGACCCACGGCTCATGGCCAGTGTGGGGGGAGCCTGTTGGGGCGATGAGCACTGTAAGGGGGGTTCACAAGGGGCAGAAGGGGAGCCACTGCCTCGAGCTTTCAGAGCAGCACCACTTCCCACAGATTTCTCGCACCCTGTGGGGTTTGCCCCCCTTTCTGCAACCAGCAGCTTCGCTCTTAATCTATTCCCATCCCCTTCCAGGAGGGGATGTGTGAGCCAGCTGCGGGTGGGGACCCCTGGGCAGGGAAGGTCCCCGAGCAGTGGCCACAGCGAGCGCTGGCCCCAGGCGGGCCACCAGGACCCGCCCGGCCGAGGCTGCAGCAGGGGGAGCAGGGTCTGTGCACGGCTCAGCAACAACGTCCTCCAACCGCCAGGCTAGCTCGGATATTGGAAACACATGTTGAGTGCAGAGAAAGAAAAAAAGCAGCTGAACTTCCCCGCAATTACTGCTAGCCGGCGGGTGAGAGAAACCAGAACGCGCCGCTGGAGAGGCTCCGGCAGGGGACGGGCTCTGCACCACTGCTCCCCGACCCGAAAACTGCGCCCCTGGGGGGGCTGCACATCCCGGGGGAGCTGAGGGAAGCAGTGCCTGTGCTCCTCCAGCGCAGCACACCCAAATCTGCCACCTCTCAGCGCTCCGTGCCTGCAGCGCACGCGCTGCCAAGGGTTAAACGCCTGAAGCCAGGAGAAAAAGCCAGAGCGTGGCTCCTGCTGCAACACCCCGACCTGCAGGACCTGGTGTGCAGATGGTTTGCAGATCGGTCCCGAGATGAGCAGGACCAGCGAGCCAGACTGGCCCAAAACATCGGCCCCTCTTAAAGGGTTTTTGCTTTACCGGGTTCTCTCACGTGTCGGCACGGCCCCTGCTCCTGCTCAGCTGCCCCAAGCAGAGAGGGGGCGTAAAGGGAAAGTCCTGACCGGCCCGGTGGTGAGGCTCCTGCTCCCTCCTCGGAGGCTTTCCAGCCTCATCCGCACACGCGAGCCGTGCCTGTTACACAAGCAGAACATAACTGGCCCATGCAGTCATTCTATTCCAGCGAAGAATGCATTTTTGGTCTACCCACTGACAGAAGCAAAACAAAATCTTTTCTATCGGAATAAATCTCTACATGGGGAAGAGGAAAGGGCTGGCATTAATACAGCTCTGGCAGTCCGAATCTAACCTTTGAAAACAGACACAAAAAAAAATTCCCCGGGCAGACAAAGCCAGAAGTGGAAGGAATTGACACAAATCAAAAGGAAACTTCAGTCTCAGTTCGTGTCGCGGTGCTTTACGTTGCAGCTTTCAAAACACTAAAGTTCCCAAGATTTCCACTAGAGGCTGTGTCTTTAAAAAAAAAAAAAAAAAAAGAGGGGGTGGGGTAACGAAAAGCACCAGGTTTAGCCCTTTGATGCTGTCACTTGAGAAATGCCAGAGCCAGGAAGGCGCTGCGCAGAATAAACGGCATCCCACTCGCAGACTAATCAAACAACCTACAAAATGCCCTAAAAGGGTTAGGGTGTTTGCTCCCTCCGAGCGGCAGCACTTCGCCCCTTACACAGGCAGGGGAGCTGGGGAAAAAAAATAAATAAAATTCTCCTGTTTGCAGAGGCAGCCCCAACAAACCTGAGAGCTCGCTGACTGCCTGATGCCCATCGGCTGGGCAAGGTGGCCAGGGCAAAGCGATCAACCGAAGCCCTGAGAGGCAGTAAGGGCCCTTGGGGAGAAGAGGAAACACCACATTTTTCTTGGCTAAAGCAGCTCTGTGGGGTCGTAAGGAGTGCAGATGCTACAGCCTTAGGAAAAACAGCTTCATGTGGCTGCCCGAGGGGCTGCAGCAGCCTCGCGCAGGAGCCCTACCTGACCTGCCCCGACTGCCTGCAGCCAGACGCTCCTGAAGGGCCCCGAGCTCCTCCAAGTCCCCTCAGAGATCCCGAGGGACCCAAAGGACGTCCCCGAGCAGCTGAGCTGCGAGACTGGAGGCAGAAAGGGGAAGGCCGAGGGGCTGAGGGCGGGCGGTGGGTACGTACGAGTGGCCGGTGGCGGGGATGAAGTATATACAGCAGTGCACCCGCGTGTCGGGGATCCGCTTCTTGCGGTTGATGTTGATCTCCTCCTGCAGGTACTTCTCGTACTGGTCGTTGATGAACTTCATGATGGGCTGCCAGCTGCAGAGAGCCACAGACACGAGGTTGGGCTCGGGGGAGGGACCGGGACCACCCTCAGCCTCACCCCCCTGGCCTCTGAGCAGGGGATGCCTCGTAGCCCGGGAGCAGGAGCATCCACCCCAGCTCAGTATGGGTGGGAGCTCCTGAAGTTGTCCGGTCCTTTCCAACACCAAAAGGGCCCAGGAAGCCCTACCAGGCACGGCCATGTCCCCATCCTCCCAATCCCATCCCTGTACCCCACTGCGGGGCCTCCTGGTTTGTGCTTTGGGGCAGCGCCGCAGCAGAGCAGGTCCTTGGGGGCATTTTTGGACAGCCCCCCGTGCCCAGAGCAGGACAAGGCGGCTTCCAGGGCGTCCTGGAAATGCCAGCTACATGGGGAGCGAATATGGGACAGGAGAGGGGAGCTGAATGCAGCCGGGGTCCAAAAACCCCCCGTTCCTCCCTGCCCCGGAGATGTGTGCACACACACGGGGGCTCGCGTTCGGCACATCCTGCAGCCACCCGGCACAGCCCTGCCCAGCACAGAGAGCCACTGTCCCGGGGCCATGTGGCAGGGCCCAGCCTCGGGGCCACATGAGCGAGGCCCAGGGACGAGCCCTGCTGGCACACAGCTGCTCCCGGCCCCAAACAAAGGGCATCTCACGGCACGGACAGCACGGTGTTTGTGGGTCCAGCAGCAGGGCCAGGGAACGCGGCACCGCGCTGCCACCCGCACCAGCCCTGCTGCTCGGCAGGGACAGCACAGGGACAGCACAGGGACACAGCTCGGCCCCCAGGACCAGCTCTGGGGCAGGGTGTCCCAGGGATCAGACACTTTCCCCCCCCGCCCCTACAGGCACAGCTGCCCAGGCAGCTCACCAGTTCTCGTTGTTGATGTGGTCCCCAAAGCCCGGGGTGTCGATGACGGTCAGCTTCATGCGAACCCCCTTCTCCTCGATCTCTGCAATGAGAAGGAAGCAGCTGTGTGAGGCAGCTCCCGAAAACACCTGTAGGTCCGGACTGGCCCCCCCCCCAGGGAAGAAAAGCGCCTTTACAGCTTTCCCAGGCACAAATCAGCCCTCCAGGGAACTCAGCACCACTTCTGCCTTGAAACTCAGCCCCCCACCACCAACCCCTCCTTGTTCCCCATCATCATTAGGTCAGTGCTAGAGGGTAAAAAGAAGAGAGGCGTCTTCCCAGCCCCGTGAGCACCTCTGGATGGCCAAAGCCCCCTCGTGCAGGTGGGAGCGGAGGTTTGGGGGGCCCCCAGCCCCCCCAGGCCTGCCGGGCCACGAGGCAGAGCAGGACCGAAAGCCAAAGTGCCAGCTGGGCTCTGCGGGGTCTCACCGTGAGTGATGGATTTGATTTCAATGGTCTTGGGGATCCGCTCCTCAGCAGTTGGCTGCACAGATTTCCGGCTGATTTTGGACTTGAAGAGGGTGTTGATTAACGTGGATTTCCCCAGGCCGCTCTGACCTGGAAAGCAGCAGGACAAGGCACAGTCAGCACCGGCCCTTTCCGGGTCAGGTTTTTTTAAGGGGACGGCAGATGGAGAGGCTGACGAGACCCAGCCCGCAGCAGAGCTGCAGGAGGGAGCCAAGAGGTGCCAAGCTGCACCCCTGAGGCTTGTTAAAAGATGTCAGAAAGGGGTGAGCAGGGCCAGGCACCGCTCTGGGGCCACGACGGCGTTACCAGCAGCCAGCACCAGCACCCCGGCAGCTTCCAGCACCACCACGGCACTCCTGTGCTTCATGGAATTAATAAACTCCTCGGGTCAGGCCCTCCTGCATCCCCAGGATGCTCCCCAGGGCTCCTGGAGGAGTTTCTCAGCACATCCCTACCCGAGGCTGCAGCCCCACACAGCTCCTCGCAGGACGAAATGATGGGAAGGCCCCCATCACACCACGGCCACAGCCTTCCCCCTTTCCCAAGAACCCCCAAACTCTTTTATCAAGTTTCACACCCCCTAGAAGAGCCACCAGCACCCAGCTGTGAGCCGAACAAGCCAAGCCACCCAAACCTCTTCTGGATCTGCACCGCCAAACACCCGCAGCGTTTCCTCCCTGGCTTACCGAGCCCGTCCTTCCCCTGCCCTGCTGCCCCCCCAGCCCTCTCTCCTTGGGGTTGTGCCTACAGGGAATGCACTGCAGGAAGGTGCACGGGACCACAGCCAGCTCCAGGCTGCGTCCCAGCCCTCTGGAAGCAGGATTTGCTGGCTCCTGCAGCAGAGCCACCGCCACGGAGCTGAACTGCTGCGCCCGGGGAGGGCACGGAGAGGACAAACCCTGTCCCAGCAGCAAACAAACAGCTCGCCGAGCACGCGGCCGGCAGCTGGCCCGGGGGGAGCGCTCACCCACGACCATGATGTTGAACTCGAAGCCCTGCTTCATGGCTTTCCGTCTCATCTGCTCCAGGATGGCGTCTATCCCCACGTAGCCGAAGTCTGCCGCCGGCTTCTCCGGCCGCGCCGGCGCCGCCTGCTTGGGGCCGGCATCCCGTGGGGCGTCCGTCATGCCGGGTGCGTGGCTGGGAACGGCCTCGGGACCTGGGGAGGCAGAGAGAGAAAGGTCAGGGGTGGAAAAGGGCCGAGCACATCGTGGTGCTCCTCCGGGAGGAGCTGCCTGCCCTGTGCCAAGAAGGAACGAGGCGCATGCGGCATCTCCGCACCAAGCGGGGATTTGGGGCATCTGGAGGCTGGGAGCAGGCACCCAGCATCGTCCTTCGCCTGTAATTACCTCCAATCTGGGATTTCACTTCTTAACACGTGCACCTTGATCCCTGCCCCCACTACTGAGACTACTGGAGCACAGCAAAAGGATGCGGCCCTGCAGCCGGGTGTGCAGGGGGAGCACCCCGGGGTGCCCCGCTCCCGGCACCAGGGAAGCCCTCAGCACGAGCCTGGAGTTCATGCCACGAGGGTGCTGAGGGCTTTCAGCAGAACAGCCCTGTGCCAGGACACTGCCACTAAAAACTTGCATTCCTACATTATCCTACAGGCTGTAATTACAGCAGTAAACTGGCTGCCGGCATAAATGCCTCACGGCCACGTTCTGGGGAGCTGGATGGCTCCCTGTCACACAACGAAGGTCTCCAAGTCCCATGCCCACTCCGAGCTGCCTCTGACACGGTGCCCGCAGGCCCCAGCTCGCCCCTCACCGTCCTACCCCAGCGCACACTGCCAAGAACCAAAAACCAACACATCTGCCCCAAAATGGGCCGCAGCAGAAAGCGCCCACGCAGTAATGGAGCTGTCACAATGCTGCCCCAGTTCTGCCGCCACCCGTCAGAGGGAAAGCAAAAAGCCTTCAGCTTCCTGGAGAAACAGGGCGCTTGTCCCACCCGCAGGGGGGCTACGGGGCGTGCAGCTCACCAATGTGCTTTGGGGCTCCGGCTATAAAGGAGGCAGAGGTCTCTGGAGGATGAGGGAGAAAAACGTGCACCAATCTGCTGCCTCTTTTCATCTCCTCACCAGAAAAGGTGGTGGCACCGTCCTCTCCCGCTGGGCAGGACCCCCACTGGCAGGCAGGCAGGCGGCTGTGGGGGTCACAGGGCAACGCACTCTGCTCGCAGCCCAAGCACGGAGCGTGCACAAGCTCGGCCCCGGCTCTTTGCAGGCTCCTGGTGGAGCCGTGAGCCACGGTGAGGATGCTCCTGGAACACAGGCGTGGAAAGGGAAGCAGCCGAGGGGTCCAGGAGCACAGCGAGAACCTCCCTAGCCCGGGCTGCTGCTGCTCGATGCCCAGCTCCCCGCATGGCCAGCCAAAGCGTTTCATTTCCTTGTAGCTTTTTGCCAAGCTCTCTGTTCTTGTATCCTAAAGCATCACTACGGACTTCAGCTCTTCTCCCAGCTTGTTGGCCTCCGATGAGGTGCTGCGTGCCCTCCTCTCCCTGCCTCCCAAGGGATCTGAGTGCAGGGTGCAGGCGGTGCCGAGGGGCTCCCTCCCGGCACAACTCCCCCCGTCCCTTCCCCCCCGGTGACCGGCACAGCCCGGGGCCCAGCACCAGCCCAGAGCCAGCTGCGAGGCAGAAGCCCTCACATCCTGCGAGCACAGCGCGCTTTGAGTCAAGCAGGAAAAAAACAAACCAAACCAGAACTGATCACCCAGACCGATACGGGTGGCTCTGAGCGCTTTTTTCCACCCCCCAGCCCCGGGCTGTGCAGAGCAGCGTTACTCACGGGGCCACTGGGGAACAAACACGCAGGTCTGGCCCACGCAGCAGCAATCGGCTCCTCCCGGCTCTGCACCAGGCACACACACACAGATTCGGGCTGTAGCACAGCTGGCAGCACGCTGCCGGCTGCTCCCTGCACAGATCACAGGTCTGGCACGCCAGAGCCCCTTGCACGGGCCCTGGGTTAGCGCTGTTTCAAAGTGGCAAGGCCAGAAGTGGGAAAAAAAAAAACACAACATACTGCTAGAAAAATGATAAATCAGGTGGGAAGTGTGCTGCCACCAGAAGCACGAGGTTATGAAACACTTCAGCTGCTGCCAGCAGCGGGAGGGCTGCAGGTAGGGCACCCACGTGGGAGAGCCCGAAGCACACTGGCCCTGTAGGACAGGGAAACTGCTACAGGTGAGGAAAATTAAACAAACGGAGTGGGAAATCAGCTTCTGGTGGTGGGGCCAAAAGCCACGGGAGGCGAGGGGTTCCCACGCACCACGGTTTGTGGCCGCAGAGTGCGCAGGCGCGCGGCCCCCAAGGTGCACCCGTGCGGCACGGCCAGCGGCACGGCCCCTGCTGCTGCAGCTGGCCTGCAGGAAGAAGGGAGTTAAAGGACAAAGCGTCCCAGCATCTGGCCACGGCTTGGGGAAATAATAAATAAATATGTTGCAACGAGGAGGGATCTGCGGGCCAACAGGGATGCACAGACACCAACTGCCCGGCAGGCTCCCCAAGGAAATGTTGCAACCCACACATTCGCTCTTCCCTTTGAGCTTCCCATCGAGGCAGCAGCCGGGAAGGAGCTGAGCCTCTGCCAGCAAGCACGGAGCCGAGCATCCCGCTCAGCTGCAAGAAATTTGTGCCAGCTTTAGAGGCAGGATGCGGCCGAGCCATGGGACCTCTGTGGCACAGGGCGCAGGCACAGGGGGCTGCGCTGATGGGTGCCAGGGAGCGCTCTTGGAAGGCGTTTGTCTGAAGTAGAAAAGATCCCTGGAATGAAATTGGAGCAGAAGTGGTGGCTGCCCACTCATCTGAAGTAGAAAGACCCCGGAATGAAGTTGGAACAGGAGCAGTGGCTGCCCCAGAGAGCTGGATCCAACCCTCGTGTTCTCCACGGGGACGGCGCCAAAACGGCGGCACTCGGTGTGCCAGCACCGCCTGCCTGGCCACAGCGCGGTGGGAAGGGATGGATTAACACACACAGCGCTGTGAGAAACGGCCGGGTTGGTGCTGAGCCCTGGCAGCAGCAGGATCAGGCCTCAAACAGCGCTGCCTTTCTGTGCCACTGGGACCCAGCTGCTCCAGGCCTCCCCTGCGGGGGCAGCCGGGAAGCGCGGGGGCTGCTCGGGTTGCCCATGGGACTGGGAGCCCTGCGCTCCCTCCAGCTCCCCTGCACGTGTCCCTGGACAAACACAAGCTGTGCAGCAAGTTGTGCACAGCCGTTCCCAGGTGTCCTCGGCCATGGAAAGCCCTCCATGCAGGCACTGGAGACCGCAGGGCAGCGCCGAGCACAAGGCAACGCGTGGCTGCAGCATGGGCTGCGGGGTGACTTCGGCCAGCTGCTCCCCAGTTTGTTTTGCCAAAGGCTCGGGGCTGTTGCACTGTCATTAATGCACGTGAGATGGGAGCCAAGGCCAACAGCCGCCAAAAGGCACCCCCAGAGCGGGGAGCACCAAGGGGGACACAGCGAGAGGGTCCCCGTGGGGTGGGTTTCGTAAAAAGACTTTGGGGAACTGCTGCTCCGACAACAGGCTGCAGGCAGGGTTGCAAACACCAGGGTGGGCTCCCTGCTCCCCCAAAACAGCCCACCTCGTGGAATCCTCACGGAAAAGTTTGGGAGAGGGGCCAGTGGGAGACCAGAACTTGCACTGCGGGGACACAAAGCTGGACAAGCTTCGCAGAGGCTGAAGCAGGAACGTCTCGGGCAGCCCCACGACCAGCCCGTAGAAGACGAGGATGCTGCACAGAGCTTTCTGGGGCGGGGATAACTCGCCTCAGTGCTAGACTGGGAACACATCAGGCTTCCAGGTCTGCTGGACGGGTTTGTGCTATCACGGAGAGCAGATTCCTAGCAGGGAACAACAGCGTGTATCAGTCAGCTGAGGGCAGGAAAACATAACAGCTTCCCAGGCAGCTGAGCATCCACAGATGTTTTCAAGAGAGCAGCGCAGACCAACTAACCTTCCAGTGATTGGGAGAAACAACCCTCCAAAATTATGACTGTTGGGTGTAACAGAGACATTTTTAGAAGCAAAGAGTGAATTTATAGCTCCCAGCTAGCTCAGAGCAGACTGGCAGGGCTGCAGAGCACGCCGCTTCCAGGGCTTTTCTACCTTGCACGCCAAACTCACAAGCTGTCGGCTCTGAAGGCTTTGGCACCGTTTGAGCATCGGGGAAGGGCTGTTCTCCAGGAGCCCCGGAGAAGGGCACAACTTTCCCCTGATCTTCCGAATCAGCACCAAGCTCTCTCGAGCTGAGCACAGCTGCTCGGCTGTGCCCCAAGTGATGATGATGATGATGGAGGGGAAGGCTGAGCCCTTGTGGGCAGCCCCTCTGTGCGTCCCCCCTCTGCTTCCTGAAACAAGCTGCAGAAACGGATCCAGCCCATGCAGCAGGTTGCAAAGCCACAGCTTTCCCCTCCGAGGGGAGGGCAGGAGGCAGGCAGCAGAGCCAGGGCTGGATGCAAACCCTGCATGGCCCAGGAGCTGCCCGCAGCTCACCCTCGGAGCCATCGCGGGGTCCCCCAGCCCCGACTGCAGCCCACCCATGCTGGCCCCGACACGGGGGTGCAGGAGCACGAGGCAGCCCCCCGAAATGTCAGTGTCCTGGCAGAGGGCCCAGCCTGGTGTCCCGAAGCCAGGCAGCAGCAGCCGAGGGTACCTAAGGGACGTTGCTGTTGTGTGCGTGCAGTCAGCCGAGCCCAGCTGGCACAGCCAGGCCCCGAGCTGGAGCCGTCTGCTCCCGTCCCTGGGCACCAGGCTATGGTTTTGGGCTGGCCGCCAGCCCGTGGCCATCTACCCGTTGGTTACGCTTCCTCCTCGGCTTGAACTTCCACCAGGCTGACAACAGCCGTGACCCAGAAATAGCAGGGGACGCTCAGCTACACCTCACCAGACCAAATCCTCCAGAGAGCCGGCGGAGCGGCAGCCAGGTGGCCTACAAGATAAGAGCAAACCCCTTCCCTTTGCACCCTCGTGGGGCAGCCTGGGTGGAAACAGAGGCACAGCCAGGTCCTGCTCTCCCCGTTGGGGCAGGGGGGGCGGTCAGCCCACAGCATGAATTCATCTGAAGCAGACGAATTCAGGAGGCGGGCCCCCCCCCCCGCAGCATTAACACTGCCCTACGAAACACGGCTGCACGGGATGCTCCTGAGCAGCTCTG